CTGGGCTTCCACCCAGCTAGCCAAGCTGACAAAAACGAGAATGGGAGTTGGCTCCCCATTTATCTTCAAATTCACTTGCAATCAGATGAAAGTTTAAAAGACCCTGCTTTTCTGCTTGTGAAGAAAAAGCTAGAAATAGTGTATTTTATGTAGTTTCTACGTTTTTGAGTTCTCCTCAGGTAATAGTGTGAAAATAAAACGAGAGCATAAGAAAGTGTGTAAAGCTAACTCCATACACACATGTCCTACTTTTATTTGCAGCTTGAACCGCAGAGGGCAGCAAACGAAAAAAAACTGAGTCTGCAAGTGAAGCGCTGCCTGGCAGTCCTAGAGAGGACTCTGCATTGCCTGTGTGACCAAGATCGATACTTAGACAATCGATTTTACTTGGCTTTCGGATTCAGTTTTGCTGATGGGCCTTTTTCTATTATCTTCCCTTCTAAGAGACTTAAAACGAACAAATCATTTCAACTTAAAAAGACGAACTCAGCTTGGTCTCACAAAGTATCTCCCAAACTGCTTGAATAGAAGGTAAAAGCAATAAAGTAAATTCTTTTTTTATAACTTGTCAGTCAAACCAAGTCATGTTCCTATACTCTACCCTTCATCTAGTCATTCAGCAACATCATTACTTGTTGAAAATATACTATTAAAGACCAGTAACTAACTTCACTCTTTCTGCCATTTGCATCAGATGGTCAACACAACACTGCATCAACATACTCAAGTACAGAACACTCATTTTAAAAAATTACATCTATAGTGTTGCATGCAGCTTTGCCTGTACTTGATTTTATATATACAAGTAGACATTCACAGGTAATAAAAGTCTCCATTTAAACTGATGAGTTAAACCGTTCTTATACTATCTGCATAGTCAAATTAATATTTTGCATTTGCAAATTCAGACACTGTACTGAAACCTCTTTGGAACAACAGACAGAGATGTCTGTTGTAAATTTGGCTTTGGCGTTTTATTAGCTCTAAAGAGTTTGCTTTTGCTTTTCCTTTTTTCTGTTTTTGGATTACTTTTAAATAGCTGCTCTAGCTTCAAGTCCATTACCAGATTGACTTAGTATCTCCTTATCTTTATGAGAAGACATGCTTTTTAATGTCATATCAAAACATACTAATACATAGAATTTCTGATTTCTTTTTAAAACATGCTGAGAAAAACTGTAGTTGACAAAGTGTTACTCAAGTAACTCAACTAATACTGAGCAGAATATTCTGGTAACTAGCTTGAGATGTCAAAGGTGACCAAACTTGCACATTCTAAAGAAAATTTCAAATTTTCCACTACAGTTAAAGACCCCCCCACCCCCACCCCCCCAAACCCTACAGATGTCCATCATGGTGCAAGCCCAGTCTGTTTCCGGTATTTGACAAAACAATGATTTTTTTAATTTATTCTGATCATTAAATACTCTTGTGTATAAACTCAGTAGAAAATGTGTCTACTGAACATATATAAAACCCTCTAGAATTAAAATTTAACCTGACAGTTTTATCTGACTAGCACTTCTGTACTTTCATGCTTAGACTGAAAGACCTAATAAAAATAAAAGCATCTATTGCTTGTCCCAATTTTATAAAGTCTTTCTTTACAGCAACACTAAGATTTTTTTCCTTACTTGCTTTACTGCAGAAATAGAGACATGTACATGTATGAAGGAATTAATTCACATATACAAAGTTGAAACTAGTAAAGAATAAAAATTACTCATATTCATATGAGTAAGATTAAATATTACTTATTCACTGAAAGCAAACATGCATTTTAGGAAAGAAATCCATGGTTCAGATGATAGTAGAGAAAAAGAAGAGTGTTTTACTGAATTGCAGACATTGGAGATGGAAACATTCATCAGAACAACTTATGTACCACCTTATCAGCGCTCTGTTGTTAGAAGAAATGGTAATGTTTTATGGAATTACTGAAACAGGAAAAAGGAAGCTGCCACACCATTACTTGGAAGACTATTCAACAGTGTAATGTCACTTTTAGCTGTAATCTCAAAGGACCAATCCCAAGCCTCTCCTTTTTTTGATGTTTTATATGCTCTTACAAGTTGAAATTACAGAAGAAAAAAACATTAATTTGTTTCATGACAGAAGGCTGCTACATGATACTGCAGCTTGAAATTACACTTATCTTTTTATATACACAACAAAGATCTGTCCCTAACCAATCTATCCATTTAATGTTTATTACTAGGTCTTTTTTTTAGGTTTATTATTTTCACATTTTTTGACCTACTGAATGAGGATCGTCTGAGTAGTATTTCCCACTAAATGTTAGTTTTCCATTGAATCTCACTTTATTATGTTCTTCCCATGTTTCTAATGTCTACATTAATCACAACTGGCTCCAACGTAGTACCTATGTCAATAAAGGCAATGGTGATTTTTCAAACCTCATCTGCCCTGTTTATTATCACATAAGGCAGCTGTAAATATTTTTTCTTTTTCTTTTTTCAGATCATTTTGCCATCAAAACTACACTCCTGTAGACACGGAAACAATTTAATTTCAGCAAAAAATTTTAAGATTTAGAGTGTGGGAGAAACTCCCTTTGCCTTTTTTGGTTTTGGCAAAACTAGTAAAGTCAGAGTTTCTAGTTCAGATGCTATAAATGTCCATCTTTTACAATGTTAAGGAACTATATTTTTATATTCCATATTTTGATTTATATTTTCTTTCAGTATCATCAGAACAATTTTCAGACATTAAAAATAAAATCTTTCGAGATTATCAAGATGAAAGAACTAACAAAATACTGACATAGTTGAGAATTTGGAGTTTTCAGATGAATTTGGAACTAACTCACTGTTTTGAGATGTCAGCTTTTCCTACACACACAGAAAAATCTTTTGACCTACTCTGCTCATCACATCCTTTAAGAAGTTATGAGTTCTGCTTTCCATATCCCATTCAATGAATACAAGGAAAGTAAATGCTTTTGTGAAACCAAATCTTTTTCTTTTTGTGACATGGTCAAAAAGCTAAACATCATCTTTATCAACAGCAGAAATTCCAGACTGATCAAACTGTGATGCCTCACTTCAACCACTACATCAGTTAATAACATTACACTAGTGTCAGCACAACTTTCACCCCTTGTATTCTACATTAGTTCTTGTTTTCCAGTCTTTTACAGCTCTGAATCATACATAAACAAAACCCCTCTCCATTCTGTCCATTAATATTTTTTCCTCAGTTTTTAAAATTTATTCTACAGAGAGATGTTTCCTCATATTTACATCAGCTAAGTCTAAACTTCTAGTCTAAGCTTCAGATGATAATGTGTGATATTGCCCTTGACTGATGCTGCTCAGTAAGTACAACATGACTAAGGCTTTCCTGTATGAAAATATTTTAAGGACCAAACAAAGCTAAAAATACAAACTCTTGATTGAGAACATAAAAACCAAAATGTATAAGCAAGTTTAAAAAAAAGGATTCAGGAACAGTCAGCAAAGTTCACTTTTTGTCATTTCATTAGATTGCTAAAATTGAAAAATTGTATCTAGGATCATATTCGTCAGCACTGCAATTCCTATGGAATTATTTTTTTCATATTACATTAGTAGAAAAAGTAATTTATTAGAAAAGTGAGGCCATTCTTGAAACATCATGCTAATTTTCTTATTTTCAACTTGAATCTGCCGTTATTCTTTGGCACTGGAAAGGCTGGTAAATGACCTCAGTGTGTATAATGCAGCCATAGCAATCAAAAAAGTGCTCAGAACAAATACCATCACCTTTTAAATAAAATTAAAGTTCATCTTCACAATAAATACTAAATCCTATTTAATTATATTGATTAATTAGCAGTTCCTATAGAAGTGCCAATTTTCTCTTTGAAAAATGCATCAGTTGTGCAAGAACTTAATTCCACAGAAACAAAGCTTAGTATTTTCTAGCTAATGAAAATTATATTCCTGGAAAGACCACAAAAATACAAGGGAAAGGTGCTTAGTACAGGTGTTTCACACTGTTGACATACTACATACTCTGGAATTCAATTATTTGCATAATTTAAATTAGTAAAATGAGTTCTGTGAACAAGCATGTAATACAGTAATACAGAAGCAAATAATAGTCCAGTATTGACTACATAAACCCCTTCTTTAAAGCTGGGCTTTCTCAATCATTTCAACCTCAAAATAAAAGACAAGAAAAGAAAATATCGTCACTGATACATAACAGTTTTCTGGAAAAAGAAAGTATCGAGATGCACAAAGGTGAATTAGAAAGGCTGGGTGAATGTGTCTTTCAGCAAATGAAAACTTCCGTTAATGGTCATTTTGCATGCATTAAGCACAGCTTTATCAGACATGCTTGTGAAAAATTCCACAATTGCAATCATTATTCAGAAAGCAGGAATTAAGACTTTTAATTACATGTTAATGTACACTCAGTAATCATAGAGTAATTGAGGCTGGAAAGGACCTCTAGAGGTCATCAAGTCCAACCTCCTGCTAAAAGCAGGTCGAATGAGATCAGGTTGCTCAGGCCTATGTCCAGGCGAGTCTTGAACACCTCCAGAAATGGAGATTCCACAGCCTCTCTGGGCAACTTCGACCAGTATTTGACCAAAATCTCCTTATGTGTACAATTAGGCACATCCTGAAAATGCAAATTGTTTATTTTTATGCACTAATTAACCAGATATCATTATGTGCTGTTAATACAACTGAAAATGAATGCTTAGAAAAAGTAGTTTCCATTAATTCACAGTTCTGCTCGTCATCCATTAGGTTTGCATGTTGGTGGTTTGATTTCTTGGAAATACCTGAAGATCTAAGTTTAGCAAATAAGCCAAACACATTTTCAATACAACCATCAGGAAAGAGCAAAGGCAAATTGCTGCAAAATCATATTTGAAAAAGGACGTTCAATATTCATCTAAGTAGTTATAATCGGTAGTAAATAATAAAAAGATGACCTCTCACCAAACCCCTTGCTGTACTACCCATTTCACTTGTGTGTCTTACCGGTCTTTCATGTTCAAGGATTGATGACTTTCCCGGCTCATATTCAAAAATACTTCTTGGTTCAGAACGGAACTTGCGGGTATCTACCTTTCTGTCAGGGGGATCCCAGTCATTTCTAAATAACAAAAATGAGCAATTGAGTTAATTTACTGTCATCGCCATCTGCTTTACAGCTCTGTGCAAGAGAAATAAGCAAAACCAAATGAATCTCAGCATGGTTTCTCCTTCCAGATTTCAGTTGTGCAACGTCTGGCCTAGTATCCCAGTGTTTTAACCACTGTATCATCTTAACCTGTTTACAGCAGGAAAAATACTAGAGATGTCCATGTGACCAATCATACTTTTGTTATAACTGGTAGACCAGCTTAAAAACTTCCCTTACATACTGTGTCAAAATACCATGACACGCCCTCTCAAACTGCAAATTTACTATACTTGTTTTATGCAAGTATATATTATATATAAGTGTAGTATATATATGTGTTTATATTATACACTAATATAGTCAAATGGTAGATATTTTTGTCATCACAAAACATGATAGTAAGTCCATATTGAAGTTACAAAATTTTCTGAGACAAAATATGAGGAATTATTTTAAAAGACAGTGTGAAAATCTAATAGATGCTCTTTATCCTGATCTGTACTAGAACTGCTCCTGTACATCCTTGTAAACAGAATACTGTTTCTTTGGAAATTTGAATAGATAAACAAGAAAAAGAATTTCTCAGTTGACTTTGGGACAGAAATTTATGCATTTTCTTTATAATTATAAATTTGCTTTCAGTTTAATAGTGCTATGCAAAGAATAAAAAGTAACCCCTACTACAATATTTTTTCAGTCATTTACCATGTTATATTAATAGCTACCTATACATTTTGGGGGGATAGTTAGCTAGTTACTATCACAGCAAGAGCTACCTTTTCATAGCAGTTTTTGTAGTCACTACCTACATTGCATTTGGAAAACTGTAGATCTTTTTATTTAGCTCTGTGTAAAATGACCCACTAGTAACTCAAAGAATGGGGGAAAAGAAAGGGGAAATCCTATCAGCTCTTGCCTGTACCTACAATAAGAGTGAGCATACACTGAATAAATTCTGTCAGTTCTATCAGCCTTTCTGATGTGACTTGGTTTGATATGACCTGACATAATAAGGCACATGTCATGTGCCTTAAAAAAAAAAAAAAAGAAAAAAAATCTATGGGCTAGCTTTTGTTTACAGTATGTTTGTGAGTGCAATTTCTGGGACACAGACACCTCTATTTATAAAACATCCTACATTTCAAGGGAAGTAGTTCTAGATGGCTCTATTGTTTATTTTCACTAAGGAAATAATTAGTTTCAGAGCAGAAAAGGTTGATTTTTTGAAAATGAACAGGAAAATGGAAGTGTTCCGATCAAGTTGCATAATACTGCATAATACTGCAAGTCACTGAAGAAAAAAGGATGCTACTGAAATTCTGATTCACACTTAGTTCACCTAATTTACAGCATTAAGTCTATAATCCCTTATGGACTATATTTTTGAGCCCAACTGTTAATGCAAACCATATCTTGCCTCCCAGCTATGAAACTGTGATACATGTGGACCTAAGCCTCTTATGTGAGATTTTAAATACGCAGGCTTTATAGGCAATTAAAAAAAGAATCTCCCAATGGCAGGAAAAGATTGACGAGCTATAGCTGTCAGCAGCGGGCAAAGCATAACTAACATGTTTGGCATCCCTTGGCCTGGACAACATGGATTTCCACTGCCTGTCTTATCATGCGGGGGATTAAAAGGAGAGGCTAAACATCCAAATTCAGTGCTGAAGCAGTTATTTTCAAGCTTGACAAAATGAATTGCAACAGGCCTCAGTTTCTGTGACCCAGGCATTTGGCCTAGCACAGGACGATGACTCATAACGTCAGAGATCAAAGCTAAGCAGATCCATATTTTCGTGCCTTGCTAACAAAATCTACACTTCTGTATGACTTGCTAACGAAATTCAAACCTCATGGCCTTTGGGAGGTAGCCCAACTCAACCCCCTAGCATTTCCTCTTGACAGCCTGCCCTCAGCAACAGGAGTAGCCAAAATCAGTAAGCATCAAGCAATCTCTTTTTTCTCTGCAATATGTGTATCTGCTGGATTACCTTTTGGATTGTCACTACCTACAAATTTTCAAAAAGCCATAGTCATAGTCTTAACTTTAAACACTTAGTATTATCTTTTCTCATAACACCTTATTCAAACTGCAAATTATTTGAAACTGTAATATAATTCAATTTCTACATATAAAAATGATTACAATATGCAAGCTGACAAAAATGGGCAAATTCTGTTTCGTTGCTTGAGTGTAACCAAGAGAGGTGGGCTTGTAGCCACAAATGGAATAAAAAAATCACCCTTTTCATATATAAAATATATACATACATACACACACACACATATAAATGTATAATAACATAGTATTATATTAACATGTAGTATTCATGAAGTAAACACTAAAGAAAAAGCTTTTTGCTTGAGCTAGTGGCTACAGATATGCTGAAGAGTATATAGAGTTTGTGCGCAGGGCACTCAGTGTGATTTTATCATAAGGATAAGCATTTCTTTCCTGAGTTATTAAGTATCAATCTTTTCCAGACTCGACTCTAACCACTGGGACCTGGTTTTGTGCATGGGAAGTCCGAACTTCCCCTTTAATCTGTAAACTCCTCCTTGGTCTACCAAAATGGAGATGGAGATTGAAAAAATGGGGAGCTCTGGGGAAATGCTGTAACAGTTCTGCTCTTCCTTGAATTTCAATTGACAACATCTTTTAGATCCTTTCTCTTTGCTACTGGATACCACAACTAGCCTTTCCTACTCAGAGTCTAACTATTCAAGGCAGCTGCTAGAGCACAGATTGTTCTGAAACACAACAAACAGGAAAATCCTGCTAATGAGAATGAAAGTCTTACATGCTTATGGTGGTATCACTTGTAAGAAAAAGCATTTCTTTAGCACATTGAAGAAATGGCAGCACCATGCACAATGCCCACACTACTGACTGTCCCTTGAATGAAGTCCTTGAAGTTATACTCCATAGCTACTATTTTATTCTTTGTGATATCCTGTAATTGGATTACTGTACATATCAAGAACATATTTTGAAAATGTGCTAACTTACTTTTCTGGTATAGACCTTTCCCTCAGACGATGTGGTGGTACTGGTGGTGGCACATGTGGAGGTGGTAAAGGGGATGAGACCTTAAAGGCATCAGAGCTACTGTCAGAAGCGCTTTTAGACAACGGTCTGTACGTCTGCATCTTCGCAGCTGGGTGTGCCTGAGCAAAGGATGGACTGTAGCTACCTGATATAAAACAAAACCAGAAACAGTCACAGCATGAGAATGAGTTTTAATAAAGCATAACATGGAATCCTATAAGAACCCAGATTCAATAAAGCTGCAAGGTTATAAAAATGTGTAAGTGCATTTTTAAAAGTACATTGCTGTATACTATGTAGCTCATTAGAATGCTTTTTATACTACAAACACACAGATAAAGTGCAGTATAGTTAAAATAAATTAATGATTAATTGGGGGGGAAGTTAATGGCTGTATATGACATCAGAGCTGTTAATGACAGCCTGTAACTAATCCCCAGGCTCATCCTGCCTCTCAGTTGTTCTATGTTCAGAAGGAAGAGAAAACGCAGGAAATGCACACTTTTTTCATTGTTAAGTTTGGGACAACTAGGCAATAGCGTATCTTGAAGAAAATCACAAGGTCCAAACAGATCTCAAACAACTGATCCACAACAAATGCTCTCAACAGTACAGAAAAAAAGGCAGCATGAGAGCATGTTGAATGCAGCAAACACTGAAATGGAAGAATTTTGGATGGCATTTTTGCACAAGGCACTATGTTTTTTGTGCACACATAGCCTATTCACACTTTCATTTTCGTTTTTGTAAATAATTTTAGTCCGCGTTTATAATCTTCTGAAAGACACACCAATTATATATCTTAGATGAATATGTCTTTCTTCCAGCTAAATAATGTCAACATCAGTGCCTATAGCAAAAATGAACAAGACAATAAAAATGGAATCATCTTTATTAGGCTCTCTTACTGCATATTTTACAAGGTGTTTTCAGGACAACCTTTTGTCTTCCCATGTCAGTAATTAGCATTTGTACTTTCACAGAGTATTTCCCTTTTCATTTTGATGAGGAAAGGTTGTGTTACTCACAATCACTAGTGAAAATAAATGCAATGTAATCAAGAAACTACAGTATTGCAGTGTATCCCATCTGCAGTAAGAGGCCCACAGCTGCAATTCATTTCTGTGGTAAGAATGAAACCAAAATTAAACTTTGTTTCATCTGGGAAAAAAGGCATGAAAAAACACCAACCGAGATCCAACAAGACAATAAAAAGTGTTTATATAAGCATTATAAAAGCAAGCATGAATCATTAACTACCCCTGTTACTCGCTGACATTAACAAAAAGCTCATTTTGAAGTGAGGGAATAATTCCTACCAGTACTGTATGCATATGCAGTATTATACATGTCTGTGTCGTCATCTACAAAAAGAAATATACATGTTACAGTAGTGCAATACATGCCAGCTTATCACAGCAATGCAGCTCTGTTTTTGCAAACACAAATGGAAAACTGGTAGGCAATCAAGTGCTGTATTTCTTTTCCTCATCTCACAGGTGTTTTCTGAAGACTCTCTTCCCATTATACTTACCATAGGCTATTTTTACCATTTCACTGGTAAAATGGTATCTTCTGGTCATGTCACCCATATTGTGTACTTACTGGTTAGCACCAAACTGCAAAATACAGCTTTTTGCTGTTTATACATTTTCTTGACATCCTTGGTGACAATCATGATAAAGGCTGTTAACTCTAAAGCTAGTAATGTCACAAAAGCTCCACTTCCGCAAAACAAAGTAAGACATTCTATGAAAAAAATGCAGCCAGACAGAAAACGTATCCTCAAAACAGCCTGTTTACCAGCCCATGCTGTTCTAACACATGAGCTCTCCAAAAGAAATCTGGTACGGTAGGAGATTCACAGTGGCCAATTTCTCATCCCTCAAACTGGAGAGGAGGATCCTTTCATTGAGCTCCCCAGTGACATGGAATCATACTGGTTGCATACCTATTCTAATCACTTTAATTTTAATTTAGTTTTAGTAATAAAATAAACCCATTAGAAATCTTCAGGCTTTAGCAAAGGAAAATAGCTCTCTGTGCAGTAAAATCTATCATCCAATTTACCCATTTGATTTGATTCATTATCTGACGCTTGGAGAATACTTGTATTTTCACATGGCAGACAATCAAAATGCAGAAAAATGTGGGTTTTAATACCACTGAGAACCACCCAGCCAAGACAAAAGCATACTTACCAGGTTTATGAACCATATGGATTTGCTTGAACATTGTCTTGTACCAATCCTTCGGCCTGTCAACTGTCTAAATAAAATACAGTTTTTAACAATTAACAAAAAAATAAAAATACCTGTGTGTACAGATCTGATCAGACATTCTGGACACAAAGGCTATCATGTTTTGTCCCCTATTTAATATAATTTTCATACCATCTATTTCAAATGGTGCATTTATGCTTTTCATCTAGGAATTCCTGTAACAAGTTCTGGAAGACACTGAAGATTGAGTCAGTTTTGGACTCTGATCTTAGAGGGTACAACTGTTAGGAACACAGGAATTAGTGTCAGATCAAGAGTTTACCTTCTTAGTGCCCTATATTTGACAATGATGAATTCTTTATACTTCACAGGAAAATACAAACACCTCAGCAATTACAAGCGTGTAAGAAGCGCTTCTTTCAAACTCCTGGCAATTTCCAACTTAAATTATCTTCAAAATATAATTGTTAAATAATGTAGAAAAACTTTGGAAAATGAGTGAGAAAATAATTAAGACAACACGATATCTAAGAGTTAATGTTTGGATTGTAAACAAACAGTATTTCCTTTTATCAGTTTTAAATTCCCTTCCCAGGCAACTTAATTTTAACTTATTTTTCTATTTTGAGAAAAGTGAATACAATATACCTTGAAATAACCACTCATCAAATTATACTTGTCTTTACTTTTGTAAACTAAGCAATCTCAAAGTTCCCAAACTCTCCTCATATCAACATTTGCTCGTGCTTCTAATTATGTTTATCTCTTACCCTTCTGCATTTTCTCTTTTGCTGCAATTTTTTTTTGATATAGGATGATAATATTTCAGAAAAAGAGATAACACAAAGGCAAATGTTTTCAGCATTACTATTCTTAGGTCCTACAATTTTACTTGTTCCACAGTAGCCAGAAAAGCAAAAGTTTTACTGCAGATGGACAAAACTATCTTCAAACCTCATGGTGCACAGGGATAATTCAAAAGACCCCTCTTAATGTGCGTTATCCTGAATTAGCTAATACTAAATCTGCAATCACTCTGCCTACTCCTCTTTACCATGAAAAGTGAAAAACCACAAACTCTTCTCTGCAAAATAACTGACAGTCCTGAGTGTATTCACCTGGCTCTGTAACATCTTTAGTGAATCACATTTTTTGCCCTAAATACTTGGTACAGTTACTGTACATAACTTAATCTGTTTTTCTTAACAATGGTGAGCTCTTACTCCAAGGGACTAAGCAGAAAACGCTCCCATATTTTGAGGAATCAATACGAGTTCTCATAAAATTGCTAATGAATGTAATTTTTTTTTTAAAAAAAATTGTTTGAAAGAAGAGCTGACAGTCACCTGAAGAACACAGGGATCTGTTGGGGAAGAAAGAATTTTAAGTGGTGGGTTATGCTTTTTACCCTGACCTGCTTGCAGGAGATGAAAGAGATAGTTTTGTATCAAGATCAGGTCCCTTTCCCCACTTACCAACATTCCTGACTTCTGCCAAAGAGAAGACATTCAGAAGCAGATTTGGACCATTTTAACAGTTTCCCTAAAGTTCCTAAAACATCTATACTCACGCCAATCTGGTAAGAATAATTTAGCTGGATTTGAAACAAGTATGCTGTTTGGTGCTCCAAGATCATGTATGTTCAAAAGTTTACAAGGAAGCCTAGAAGGTCCAAATGAATTCATGCTGATGGGCAAAACCTCCATGGTACTCCTCATTTCCCACAGTGCTACAAATCTGCAATGGTCCCATGATACTGCAACTGCCTTTCTGACTGTATTGGGTCAAGAAGAGTTTTCCAACAGAGCTTGTATCAGTGACAGGTGAATAGATTGGAAAAAGTGCATAAATATTACTGCCACGACCCTACTATTTGTCAAGGGACAAAGGTGCATAGATATCTCTCTGCAGGATTGTCCTTATCAGTCAGGTCCTCCACAAATCAACAGGAGGCTTCCACATAGAGATCAGGTATGGAGGAGCTCCCACATGACCACAGAAGGTGGGCTCCCAACATCTTTCTGGACATTTGAACGTTTTTCTCTCATCATCTCCCCCTCAACCTCCACCCTGGAGTTTAAAGCCTCAGCCAATAATTTGGCTTTACATAATAAGCCAGATAGGATTAGTTAAGGAATAGAATAAATTAATTTTAAAATACATTTTCTCAATTTATATTCACTAATCCCACATCCCAACATTTGTTTGAGGAATTAGCAGCATTGACAATGCACCAAGTCATTCAGATGCCATCCTGCTTTGCATACATTATAGTTGTTGCAATTAAATGTTGGAACATGGTATCCTCATATGTGAAAGAACAATCAGCCAAAGACTGTGAAGAGGACATAAGAAGTATCTACAGTTGGTACTTAGGAAAGTCCATAATCATTGCGGTATTCTAATAATCCATCAGAAAGTATGTAATTAAAGGAGTTATTTATGACTTTCAGAGGACCTTCTGTGGTGTTTTTTTTTTTTCCTAGCTGAATATTGCGTGACTAAGTACAGAAAAGAAATCTTGATTATTTTTTTTTCCTCATTCTTAGTAAATAGAGGCCTTTTCAGTCTACAGATTAATTTTGATAGTTAGACATGAAGCAATCATTTTGGATAGTCTAAAACATTCAGTCATACTGCTTTCCACAAACCTGTTTTCTCTTTTCCTAGGATCCTGTTGGTGGTAAACTCTGGTGGTGCTATTTGACTGAATGCTTTTCTGAGTGAACAGCATTTTACCCTCTCTTTTCCAAAGACTTCATTTTTGATGCCTTGGAATTTCATCATCTTTGGGGCAGGGCTTGGCATGGTGGCAGAACTTGACAATGATCTGAATTTTCAGGCTTGCACTTCCCAGAGCTGGCAGGAGCTCAAGTGGTATGGAGGGAACATGCTAACATGGGATGGACATTCTGAGAGAGCTCTGTAGGAATCCTTCCTCTCTTAGCAGCTTTGGACAGAGAGGGTTTGCAGGAATAGAAAAGGAAGAGAACACCACTCTGCTTTCCTTGGCTAAACAGCTGTCACAAACCATGTTTTGAGAGTAAAGACAGACTTGAAGGAGACAACCACAGCTTGAGAAAAACCTCTCTACTCATGAAACACACTCCAAATCTGAAAGAGATACTCCCAAGTTCTTATTTACAAGCTTTGAGTAGCACAGTGTTACGGAACACAGTGTGTATGTTACCTATCACCTGTGAATCTGCATTTACTGCCATTTTGATAGATTGTTGCCATTTTCATAAAGATAGAAAAATAAGAAACTTTTAAACTTTGCATGCAACGATAAGATCAACTAATTTGAAAACTACTTTCTTTCTCCAGACAGAATAAGGCTGAACTTTCTGAGAGAAGATGCCCATTTGGATTGCACGCTGACCTTAGGAGAAAGAATGAGTGATATATCCTACCTTCTACTGTTCATGGGAAATGCAGTTAGAGCACTTTTGCATGTTTCTGCATAGTACTGCACTTCTCAGAGGTGTCAAGGTGCAGCACATTGGAGTCTTTCGCTGACAACTATACCACCTGTGTTCTTACATGACTCGGGTACACGGGGCTCAAATATACTCATGCACATTTGAAGTGTAATTTCAAATCAGTATCTTCAAAATAGTCTCACTTCCAGCTAAGTCCTAAGGAACCAGAATAAGGATGCAAAGTGGCACACGAGACACATGCTCACACACACATATGCTAGCACAATCTTTTAACTCACAGCTCATTGTGAGAATCATTTCCATAATACTACGTTTACAAGCTGTAATATATTTTGAAATTGAAATATAACAAAAACCAGAGCAAATCCAGCTGAAAAGTGTCCTAATTCAAATTACAGTATGTTTTTAGGAGAAAATCTGAGAGACTCAGACCATACAATCCCAAAGTTAAATACAGGCTGGCAGATTGCCAGCTCTGTTAAGAACACTTGAGAGGGATTTCTGTTATAATCTTACATAAATGATATGCACCCTATTAGATCAATCTACTCTTAAAAAAAAAAAGAACAAAACCAATTACTTTATCCTACATAAAGCATAAAGATATATTTACTTAACAAATAGGTAGGATGCTAGAGCACTGTTGCAAAGAAATGTCTTAATTTTTAAAAGATTCTGATCATACTACTTTTAACGTGAAAAACAGGGCAAGAAATGCCAGAGTTTCCCCCCATTCTTACCAAAATTGTCCCCATCTTACCACTCATTTTGATTTTTTCCTATTGCTTTTCTCCATCAATTCCTGATTTCCCCCCTAATTTTTAAATCCATTGAAGCAGTTCTTGGCAATACAACACAGCCCCATATGTCAGTATTGGCAGAGAGGATACATCCAACAGCTGCTACATCCTTGCACCTCACAAAGACTTCACCTGCAAAGGCTCTGCGGCTTTCATCCTGGCTCCCACTCTTCTTACTCTTTCTCCGTCTAGCACAGCGCTGCTTCTCTGACTGGGAAGGCCAGTAAGCACTTGCTTTACAGACCTAGTGCAGCTGCCACTGTGCTCTCTGGACCAGCCAGAAGAGGCTGCCCTGACAGCAGAGTGGAAAGAATGCTTCAGCATAGTGAAAACAAAACTCTACAGTTCGACAGCCTGGGACCACTCAGGCAGTGACTAGTGGCAGATGATCAAAACTGGGCTAGTCACAATGAAAGGGCTTCCACGCTATTCCTTTACGTGTCACTCAAGGGCACAATGATTATATATTGCACTTCCACGAAAATGCTAGTCACTTAGATTATTCTCAGAACAAAACTATTCATTTCTACACTACCCTGATGATATGAGAACCAACGTCCCCCCAAAAATGCAGCAGCAGGAGATTTTTATATATACAAATACATACGTATATACGTATGCTTGCATGAATGCATATATATAGTATGTATAAACTTTATTTCAGAAATAAATGCAACTACTGCATTATCTCCAAAAGGCAAGAACTACAAAAGAAGCAAGACACACAAAGTTTTGGCTACTTCTAATTAAAACTAGAAACATGAGGTTGCCCAATTATGCTCCCATCAGCATTCTCCTTTTCCGTCAACACACAATATTATATTCATGAGCTCGCTGATTACGCACACTGTATTCCACATTATATAAGACTAGAAGAATGTGAAAAACCCATTACCAACAATCAATTCATTGTATGAGTTCATACACAGATTCCCCAGAATTTCCTACCGTTCTAATTGCTGTAGGGATTCCAGATTCATCTACCGGGCCAATCCCTGCATAATGTGGAGCTTTAATGACCGTAATTTTTTTTTCTTCTTCTGAGGATCTACAGATTGGTATTGTACTGGTGGTGGTGGTGCTGCCAAGAGTCTGAACATGCTGTGAGTATGTCTCTGTGGACTCTGTAAAGATAACATGACAGAATATTGTATAACAATACAATAATCATACTTGGCAGTTATAACACGCTTCCCCATTTCAGTATGCTGTACAAAGACTGACAACAATCTTACCAACATACATATACAACACTAAGAAAAAGATGATCTTAGCTGGGGCTTTGCTCTACTTAATGTTACATTAACAGAATTATAAACTTATTTAAGGACCAGACAGGCTATTCAACTCAGATCTTCTTAGAATAGAGGTACTTTTTCACAGCATCTTACTCACAAAAAAACTCAGAAAAACACCCACAAACCCATCAAAATCTATTGAGAAATAGTGGCAACAGCCTTTTTCCTATAAATCAAACTCTTGCACCTTTCCTATCCATTCCTTGAAACTAGTGATATAATTTCAAAACTTCTCACCCCTCCTGGACTAGCAAACTACAGAAAATTGCTGTTCTTTAAGCACAGCAACAGATTCCAAATGGCCCTCCACAAACACTTACGTGATATGTGTTTAGAAACAGTAAGTTCTGATACACGAATATTTTTAAAAAACAAATTCTGATGTACAATTTTCATCCCTTAAAGTTATGTCGGAATGTTTAAATGCCTCTGCATATAATCCATAAAAATGGACCTCAGTAACTTGGCATCTGTAGAGCAATCTGATGATTCACCTACAGTACTTTAGGTGAACTCTGCAGGCTGCTACTGGTTTGTGGTGACTTGCAATATTTCTACCCCTCTCCCCCAAATCTTCCTTTACAATTAATGAAATTAATGTCACTATTACCATTTCCCTCTAAAATTCAGAGTAATTTATTTAACAAAAACCAGCTCACTGCTGGAATGTGTCATGTGAAAATCTGTACTGCTGCAGATGATGCACTTCTTTCCTGTATGCAGGAAAAAGAGCCCTACTCCTTCAGGCAGCATGTTTCAGTAAATTACTGGGCTGCTATGACAAAGCATCTTTTTTTGCAAGAGTAGGTGCAGTGCTGGTGAGACATTTCCACTGCGGAATAAATTACTATAGCGGGAAAAAATAAATAATCTAGCACTACTGGTGAAGATTACAATTGTCTTTTGTGTGACGTTAATATCCATTGATTCTTCTGAAGCAAAATATTAAATTGTAATATGAATCAGCAAAAGGAGCTGCGGCAACTGAAAGCTCTAATTTTAATTTTAATATTTCTGCTCACTGCTACTGCAGAGAGATGGCTTTGGTATGGCTGTTTCAGCTGTTTACTCAAGTTTGAAATCCTGTAAATAATCCAGTGCTACACATATATGGCGAGGGGCAACTCAGCATGGCAAATGTCTGAATATTTGGGCCTTTTTCCCAAAATGCATGATGTTAAATTTAGAAAACATTTTTGATTTTATCCTTCATTCTTCATAGGCCTCAAACTGAGGCCATCAGTGGGATTTTTACATCAGCAAGGAGAATTAAATCAGGCTGTTACTGTGGAACATAAAACTTCAGTATCATACAAGAATAAAAGTCATGGGAAAACACTTATTTCAGGTATATCCAAAACCAGAACTGGTAGGCCTTTAGATCAGCAAACTGGAAACAATTAAAGAATCTAGAATTCTGGGATGTGGAGAAACCCACGTATACAGTTTTTGTACTTATCACTATGACAGGGATAGCAGCATTTGTCTAAGGCATAAGTCTGAGAATTGTCACCTATTTCCCTGCACGCACAACAAAAAAGTAAACTCCAGGATCACATTGAAATGATTTTGCTTGTATAGTCTTATCTAAATATGCAAAACACTAGTAGAAAAAGCAGCAAGCAAACGTTTGTTCTGGCAAAATGATTATACTGGCAAAGTATCTTTATATGGCCGACCATGTAAGTTTTAAAGAAAATTAACAATGCCCTTCAAAAAATACATAAATAAATTTTAGACGGACGTGGCTTTAGGTGCTTAAAAGCCCAGAGCCCCTCCCTTTGTTGGCAGTATTTCTACTGAAGATTATGGAAGTTGTGGGGAGAACCAATGTTCAAAGTTAGCCCTTGGTTTCTTAAAGAAGACAAAACCTGAAGGGGCTGCAGAGGTTGAGCTACTTTGATATACGCTCTTTCCTCGGTAAAGCTAGCAGACAGGTGGCAAGAGGTGACTCAACACACATAGGTAACAAAACTTAATAGTAACTCCAGGATCACTACTGTATCTAATAATAAATGCTATTTTTTTTTCTTTTGCATTTGCTTCCCAAAGTAGGTGAACAGACAATACCTTCATTATGGATGTGAAGCACTTCACAACTGTTTGCAGTCTTTGCCACATGAATTGAAATATGTTGCGTAATGTATAAAGCAAACATTCTGTATGAGGCTTACCCATCATCCTGCCATGCTGCATGATAACAATGTTGGAATTGAGCGAAGCTGGTGGAGGGAAAGCTGAAGAAGGGGAAAAAGGCCTTTGAAAGTGACTCACTGGGCTGGCAGCAGTGCCAGAGTTCCCATTCACTGTGATCTGAGCCTGAGAGAAACAAAACAATATCCCATTAAACTACACACAAAGCCCTCCGACTGCCATCCCAAACAAAGAGTGATGCAAGACTGTCATCCACACAACAATTACCAGTTGTCAGGTACCCAGCCATAATGGCATCTCCACTCACTGAAATACAAAACTCATCACAAGGGGAGCAGAAGGTGTTTCTTATACACCTTGTATCTCCCCTCTTCTCTCCTTGTACGTGCTGTCTGTGAAGCATGCTGAAGTCATGGGAAGGTGACAGAAAGACCACGGTCAAGGGAATGAAGATGGCACAAACAAGGTCTTCAGAGGTCTGACAGCAATATAGAATAAAGATAGCAGTAAAAGTTCCTCTCATCGTGTGACAAAGGCTGCCTGCCACAGATCATTGACACCAAGAGACATATTCCATTAATGCACATGCTCAAGCCTTACCAATATTAACAGGAACTTCTGTGCAGACCAAAGGGAAAAGTCTCATTAAGATTAGTTACAGAGAATGAGACAAAGCTTCTTTAAAAAATGGAAGCTGGCTGGAGTGACTATGAGATGCTGATAAGTAAACTATCACAGAAAAAAAAAAAGCACCAATTAAAAACCCCACAACCACAAAACAACAGAAGAGAATCAAATAAATAAAATGGGAAAGCTAAGTAAATTGGCAGTATAGCAGCTTCGCAAGCCCTTTTAGGCTTTAGTCACAAGAGGTACTTCTGAAAAAATCTGGTTCCCTGCCTCCAGGTTTAGAATCTCCACATCTGGGCTGTAGCACTTTTATGGGGAGTATTACAAGGATCAAAACAGAGATATTGAGAAAGTATCAAACGAAATAAGAGGATAGTGAATATTTCAGCAGAAAAGGGAGGGAAGCTCTCTGTAATATCTCTTTTAACACAGAACTCTTTTTAAATCTGAACAAAATCAGGAGTGCTACAAACTGCTCAATTTTGTATAATAAAAGAGAACTAAAACATGCTGTAAATGTAAAACATTAAAATATCTGAAACAGCAAAGTGCAAGTAAAAAATGTATTAAAAGGCATATTATTTTTACATTTAAAACCAAAATGATTCATGACCTCTTGTACACATTTGTATTTTGGAGATTACTGATTTGACTTGAAATTTTTAACATCTCAGTCTCCAACAGCTATGACAGCAAAACAAATTCTGGCTCCTATGCAGATATCATGTGACCTCCTAGAGGCATTCAGGGGTTTCTCATTTTAAGGATGCCTGTTTTCAGAACTGAGCTGAAAAGTTTGTGCTGTGGTGATGTCTCCATTAAAACTTTTGTGTTTAAAGGTTTTGTCTCTTTATAAAGTCAAGAACCAAAATGTAAACTAAGTTGGCTTTTCTCACACCATCCTCCCCTCCAAAAGAACTTGGAGCTGTAAAAATACAAAAGTACATGAGCTCAAAGATAGCATTTCAAGAGGTATGAAGCCACGTTTTCAGATGAGATTCCTAGATGAGGTCAGCCATCTCTGTGCTACTTCAGGGGTTCACCCATTCTCTATTCCTGCACATTGTCTTTTTGGGAAAGCTTGTTTCTAGGGAAGGCAGGACGCAACTGTGTCCAGAACCTTACACCTTCTTACTCATTTGGTATGGCTCTTGTGTCTCTGAAGACAGAAGGAGAACTAGCATGGCTTTATTGTAGTCTGGAAAGCTACTCCTATGAATTTCTGTAATAAATTAAGATATTCCTGTGATGGGCTCTATCAAATAGCTGGGTTAGACAGTAAGGCTCTTACACTAAATAGTTATGAAAACTTACACAATGTTATGAAAACAGGACCCACACAAGTAGCTGATGGACATCAGTCATTAATGTATACATGGCACGTCCATATATACATTTTTGGGTTTGCTTCTAAAGGTTTTAGAGAGGATGTAAACTCAGCCATAATTTCTTAGTTCCTAATGACTTTCTCTTTGAGGAAAGTTTTCGTGAATGTGGCTATTGCATGTTTATTTGGTGCAACTTACACTGGTGAGAAGGTTAGCTATAAAATATATTTTTGCAAAGTTTCAAGTTCCAAGGGCCTTTCCTGCCCTGGAATCATTTGGCAGCTATTAATATTTCAATCTAAGAATGTGATGCTTTAGTTCCAGGTGACAGAGTGCGTTCCCAGATTTTACAAGGCAGTGAAATCTTTAAGATGCCTATTCAAATTAGACCTTTTACTTTCTTAGGTAATCTCCTTTGTGGGAAAATAAGATGATACAGAAAATAACTATTTCACCAAAACGCTCCTATTTCCCATCTTACTGGGAAGATAATCTTCATCTCTTTCATGCTGTTCATTTCCCTAGACTCCTCCACTTATTTTTTTCTCCAGTATACTTTACCTGTGCTCCACAGCTAGCAGAGCCACTTCTGCTGCTAGGTAATCATGCTCTTGTAAAGATTTCTCCTAGGCACCAAGTTTAAACTTCCTAGAACATCAGAAAGACCAGCTCTCTGGACTTCTAAATTAGAGCAGAGAGAAGCATCTATCTGTGACCGGAGCTGCTTTCTAACTTTCTCTCTGCTGAGGCAGGCAGCAAAGGGAAAGAGATCCCATTAGAGATGTCTGAGCAATTTTGTGCAACAACGCTGCACAGCACACCCCTGGCCTCAAGACACTGAATTAGACTAAAATACTCAGGATCAATTCTTGAAGCTCAAGACAGCCCTGGAACTAGAGAAAAAGGAAAAATCTAATGTCTATTTCATTTCCAAGTTTCCATTAGATTCCACAATTTTAAACCCCATAAAAAAAAAAAAGAACCCGTGAAAGTTACTTTATAAGGGTAAAGTTCATAATTGGAATAGAATCAGAAAAAATAGTTTCAAAAAAAACCCAAACCCAAACCCAAAACCAAAAACAAAACCACAACAAAAACAAGGTTTCAGAGCTGTGTTACAAGAGTTAGGAATGGCAGCTTTTACAGGCCTGTTATCGATACTTTTTTTAACAGCACCCAGAGAACTGACAATAGATAGTTGACTTTCTAGGTGACTATGAGCAAGTTTTGGGTCAAAATACTTTTTATAAAATATACTTTAAAAATATATACACTGGTTGTTCTTTTCAGACTTGAAAATGACAGCATGCTGAAGTATTTGTACAAAGTTTGAACACTGTTGTGACCCAGTAAAACTTTGGTCTCACAACATGTCTCTGTTTTGTAATTCAGCCACGAATTGCTCAATCTAAATGAAGGCTTTGTTCTGACTCACTTTAATCATGCAGATAATCTCAAAAGAAATAAGAAGTGATCTGGATTTGACCCAAATTCCATACCTTCTTTCTACTATATATGAGTGTACTAAGGTACAGAAAATTGAATGTATGTATAAAATTACTAATTGCATGCTGTTTATTTCCTTGACTTAACTAAGAGAAAAGTAACAGGATACTTGGGTACTACAAGATTATTTATGAAGTTCACTCCTGTAAGAAACTGTGCTTAGGAGAGAAAAAGGTTAGTTAGAGGAGAGAAAAAGAGTTTCATGCAGTCAGTGGTCATGGCTGGGGGAAAAACTGTGTTAAATATTGTCAACATTTACTATGAATTTACAAGTTATATGATTGAAATCTGTACCTTAGTATAAACCAAAAATGGTGGTAGCCCAGAGCATACAAACTCCACAAATCTGTATGTTGCTAACAATATTTTAAACAAATCTCCTCAAACTCTACAGACAGCTTGCTTTTAATGCCTTTGGAACAGATATTTTCATTTATTTTAAGCAAAGTGTTTGATACACCTTAGCTGACCATACAACTGTGAAACAACTTAGTATCATTTTCCTATTACCAAATCTGCTATGGCAATGATTTTTTTTAACAACTGTTGCAAAACATACTGTCAGACTGGAAACACAGAAAACTTCTAACAGAATACTTGTCTCTGTAACGGGATAACAGACAAGTTTGAATTCTTTTCCCCTCTGACAACCTGTTTGAACAAAATGGAGGAGGAAAAAAGAAGCATAATTACATGAGAAGTGGCAGCAGTGTTGGTTAAGGCGGTGCCATCTGACACAGCAGACATCTGGCTCAAGGTTGGGGAAGGTGTTTCAGAGCAGTCAGTAGTATCATAGCTACAAGTCTGCAGCTCATCTAGAATGGCTGTGGAGGACTCACTCACTGTGCGGGAGGAGCACTCACTCATGGCAGAATCTGTGCTTACAGAGGCCGTTTCGTTCCTGTGGATAACACTTTCAGAAGCTAGGTATGGGCATTTATATGAAAACTGTGAAAGGGCTGGTGTTTTATAAAAGCGTGAAGGCAAAAAATCATCAAGCGTTGGCAAAGAATATGGTACTAGATGAGTGTCACTGTCTGGTGAGAAAGAGGCTCTGTTAACTGGTACCACAGGAGGAGGAAGAGGCAGTGGAGAAGCTTCTGTTGCTGTTTGTCTGTGTGTCTGTGAAGCATTTACCTCCATCACAGGGGCAGTTACTTTCTGGTTTCCAAGCTGAGATTTGAGGAAAAAAAAAATAAGAAAAGAAACAGATTACCAAATGAATAAAAAACTTTTCCCTTTGCCTCTTGCTGTGTGTAGGAGAATTATAAAAGCATTAAGTTTTTCAGCAGCCCGAGGAAGTTCACATTCACATGGATTAGGAAATCAACCACGCTCTATATTAAAGTAGGAAAACATGAAAGAAATGAATGCATCAAATACTAGTGGAAGCAATGCCAGAAACTATAGTGTGCTGGGGATGAATATTCATAATGTATTGCATATATTAATGATCTCGGTTGTGCATGAAAAAGGTTCACGCTATTTTATACTTCACATAAATATGAAGCTAAAGAACATCATGTTCATTTTGTTTGTAAAAAGAAAAAAGGATCTGCAAGTCTGATCTGTGTAAATGTTGCTCTCTTCTTGTCAAAGGACAGGTATCATTTTAAAATTAACTGAAATATAAAGATGGGCAAGACTGCAAACTAAATGGAAACACTGATATTGAATGTTCATATGATCCGCAAACAATAG